GGCAGGGAAGAGTGTGGCACACTCAGAGGCTGCTGCGAAACGAGCAGCGGCAGAAATGGGAGGGCGGTGGGAGATGAGGCCAGAGGGGTGAGGAGCGTGAGTTTATTCTAAGATCCAGGGGAAGTTCCTTTGGAGGGCATGAGGCCTCAGATACGATCTGACTTATGCTTTAAATTCTAAGAGAAAGGGGAGACCAGTGTAGACAAGAGCTGTCAGTAAAGCCTTCATGGAAGAGTCAGTGAAACCTTCCGCTGCGGGATTAGAGATAAGTCACCATCTCCTACCAGAACTGAAAAATTCAGCTCTTTACTGCAGGTTCTCTCAAGAAGACATACAAATGTTCCATAAGCACACGAAAAGGAGGTCAACATCCTTAGCCATCAGGGAAACGCAAATCAAAGGCACAGAGACCCATCACTTCCCAGCCACAAAGATGGCCAGATGTAAAAGGACTGTCAAGGGGCGCCTGGGTGGCTCAGTCTGTTTAGCGTCCGACTTCGGCTCAGGTCACGATCTCGCGGTTCGTGAGTTCGAGCCCCGCGTCGGGATCTGTGCTGATGGCTCGGAGCCTGGAGCCTGCTTCGGATTCTGTGTCTCCCTCTCTCTCTGCCCCTCCCCCGCTCACGCTCTACCTCTCTCTGTCTCAAAAATCAATAAACATTACAAAAGGTTTGTAAAAGACAGTCGGTATTGGCGCGGCCGTGGAGAAAAATAAATCCACACGCACCGCTGGCGGGGACGTTGAATGGCGCGCTGTGCTTTGGAAAACAGTTTGGCAGCTTCCGAAAAAGTTTATTTATCTGTGATTCAGCCACTCTACTCCTAGATATCTACCCAGGGGAAACAAAAACCTTTGTCCACATAAAGACGGTGCACAGATATGCAGAGCCGGTGAGTACTGTTACTCACAATGGCTACGAGCCGTTACAGTGGTTACAAAGTAAAAACAACTCCAGGGCCATCAGCTACCCACCCCTACCCACCCCTACCCCAGCAGTCAAAAGGGGGGAAACGCTGGGGTATCCTGTCACCTCAAACACATCATGCTAAGGACAGGAAGCTAAACATCACATGCTGTAGGATTCCATTTACACGAAATGCCCGAAAAAGACCAATCTATAGAAACAGAAAGCAGGGTAGCGGTTGTCGGGGCTGGGAGTAGGAATGGGGACTTCCTGTAAACAGGCATGGGGAGGTCTTGCGGGGGACGGAGACGTTCTAAAATCGGATTGTGGTGGTTGCCCAACTCCGTACGTTTGCTAAAAATCATTGAATTGAGTGTTTATGGTACAAATTGCAACCTCAACAAAACTCAAGCACCCGCTGGATTTTATGGTCCGTGATGGCAGGGACTGGCCCATCTTTTTCTGTGAAGTGTCCCCAGCACCTAGAACGGCTAGGCACACAGTGAGCACCCAGTAAATATTGGCAGAGTGAACAAATGCACGCATGAATGAACAAAGCCATAAAAAGTAATAACCTTTAGTTGGGCGAACGACCCCGCGGAAGGTCCCGCCCTCTCTTCTCTCCTGCATCTCCCTACTTGAAAGACTTGACTACGTGGCTGGCCCACTCGTGGGTCTCCCTGCCGAGCTGTGACCTTGCACTCCCGAGTTGTGAAGTCCCAGTGTCCCCCCTCCCCCCCGACCAGGTCTCAGCACCATGACCCCGTGCAGTGCTCATCCCTGGCTTTCCTGAAATGCCGTGCCCTGCCTGTTCCTGTGGGCTGACCTAGGACAGCTGCCCTCTGCCCTCAGGCCACCTGAGGCCACGCTGGTGGCCCTCAGTTCTGTGTCACTGCCCAGCCTCCAATCCTCAACTGTCAGCATGACAGTTCAACGTCTCTAAAACCGAAGGTCCTCATTCTGCTGAGCCCTGCTCCCCCGCAGAGCCCCTGCCCTGAAAGAACCTTCCAGAAACCTGGGCATCCTCCTTGACGCTTCTCTCCCCCTTCCTCACTCATCCCCTCGCCAAGTCCTGTCTGCGCTATTTCTAAGCATCTCCTCTCTCTCCAGACAGCCGCCTGCCATCATCCGGGTGACACTTCTCTCTGTGTCCCTTACTGAAACCACAGTGACCTTTTTATAGGTGAGGATGCCGTGGGCTGCGGGCATCAGAGGCCATGTCTAGACAGCTCAGGCTAACGGTAGCACAGAGAGGAAGGACAGTGGAATGGAAGGAAGAACTGAACGGTCGGGGCCAGGGAAATCGAGAAAGTGGGCAGCCCCCACCCCCTGGCCTCGCAAGCTCATGGTCCTTCTTGCAAGGGGACTCCGCCTCAGTAACTCAGCCTCACAGTCTCTCCGCTCTGGTCTCAACTGGGCCAATGTGGGGGAGGGGCCCATGTAGCGCGAGCATCAGCTCTTTCCAGACCCCCGAGGAAATCACCTGTGTCCCGCAGCCAGCCCTCCCAAAGCCCCGAGCAGCTCACGGGCCCCCCTGATCCTGAGCATCTGTCCAGACACAACCCTGAGGGCTGGCCTCTCTGGCCCACTGGCCCCGCCCACCCCTGCCCAGCCGCACTCGGCTCGGGCCCTTCGTGGCACCTCCTTCATGACCTTCAGTGCCTGCCCTCCGTCCGCGTCACTGCATTTCTCCCCGTCCTTGGCGTTGTTCCTTTCTCTCCCTTTTAGGATGACCTCTGCTGGGGCGCCTGGGTGGCTCAGTCGGTTAAGCGCCCGACTCCAGCTCAGGTCATGATCTTGCGGTCTGTGAGTTCGAGCCCCACGTCGGGCTCTGTGCTGGCAGCTCAGAGCCTGGAGCCTGTTTCAGATTCTGTGTCTCCCTCCCTCTGACCATCCCCCGCTCATGCTCTGTCTCTCTCTGTCTCAAAAATAAATAAACGTTAGAATGACCTCTGCTAAGCGAGGACTTGCCCGTCGCGTTCACGGCTGGGCCCCAGGGCCTGCTGATCAAACGGCCGACGCCCCTCCAACACGGGGGGACTCCGTGGAAAGGCAGGGACGTCGGCTCGTTGGAGAGAGGTTCCTGTCGGGGACACCTTCGTACCAACAAGAGTTTGCCTAGAAGTCAGTTTTCCGACACATTTCTTTTCCTTCTCAGTCGGAAAGCTCTGATTTCCTTTTCCACGAGTCCCCGATTCAGGAGCCGGTGACCTTCTCACTGTTCGCGACCCAGCGCCGTGACCCGGAAGCGGTGTTATTTCACAGTCACGAGGAGCGGGGCCTCACTGAACGTCTCCTGGAAAGCGCGGCTGACACTGAACGGTGAGGGGTCGGGCGTGCGGACAACCGCCCTCCCGCCACGCAGTCGAAACTTCGCCTGTAACTTCTGGCTCTCCCAAAGCGTAACTCCTGCTGATCAGAAGTCTGACTGGTAGTGCAAACAAGCTGATCAACACACATTCGATATGTATTGGTTATATACCGTGTTCTCACAGCAAAGTGAGCTAGAGAGAAGAAACTGCATCACAGGCGAGAGAAAATAATGTTTACGGTACTGTACTGATGGAGAAAAAGCCACCGATGAATACGTAGACCCGTGCAGGTCAAACCTGCGTGGTTCAAGGATCGGATGCCCTTGAGTTAACTCCATTTTGCCCCGTTTACTGGACTCTGCTTTCAAGACTCAAACCCCTTTCACACAAACGCCCCCTGCTGGGCAACTGAGAATCGCTCCTGCCTCCCGAGCCCCTCCCGCCCAGGTGTGCCGGAGCCACGCCCGCCACCCCCCACCCTCCCCCCTGCACACCCTGAGTTCACCTCCTCAGCTCTCCACTGCTGTGCTTCCCTCCCGCCCCTTCCCATCCCCATCATCCTCCAAACCAGCCCCCAGACTCACATCTCTAAGGACACCAATCTTGTCCCTCCTCAAAAACCTTCAATGGCTCCCTAGTGCCTGTGGAATAGGTCCAAGTTCTTTAGCCTGGCATCCAGTATCCTTCGTGATACGGCCCCGAGCCATCTTTCTGCAATTAGCCCTCACCATTCCCCTGCCTTCCATGCAGTTTCCACTCATTCTTTAAGGCACAGCTCAAACTCCTCCTCCTCCAGGAAGCCGCCCCAGGTTGCCATGCTGCTTCTCTAGCACTGAGCCTCTGCTGTCTCTTTCATTGCTGCATAGGCCTGGTCTTTACAAGAAACAGCCCGTGAACTCCTTGAGGGGCAGGCGCGGATACTTCAAAGTGGTAGCAAAAATGTGTAGCAAAACAGTTGTAGCAAAAAGCTGATAGTGATTTGGCACTTTTACAGCGTTATCTTCCTTTTCTCTCCATGACTCTCTGAGGTGGGCGGGCACAGGCTATTATCTCCACCTTGCAGCCGAGGAAACAAAGCTCAGAGAAGCTAAGTAGCTTCCCCACAGGCGCACAGCAAGAAAGCAGGGGGGCCGGGAGAGAGCTGGTTCTGCTGCCCCGATTCTGTCCTTGTTCCGTTACCCCCTGCAGGCTCCCTCGTGTGCCTCCCACACCTCATCCACGGAGAGTGACAGCCAGGATCTCTGGATTGTCATCTTCAGCGTCAGTTCCTGGACTGTCCCGTGGCGACAGTGACCTGCTGTTTCCACGTGAAAAGGGCTTCCCTAGCAGACAGCGCCCTGTGCTGGAAAGAGCCCGTGGGAAGTTACATTTGCCAGGTCCGTGCCCTTCAACGGCTGTGTGACCTTGGGAAGCTCCACCCACAATGAAGGACCAGCCGTGTCCCCTGGTTCCCAGATGAGGTGCTGGCATTTGATGATGATGATGATTCTTAGCAGGCCCCTCAGGCTTGGTGAGAGAAGCAGTTTGCAAGCTGCATAATGTCATAATGTAACCGTAGGGGAGGGAGGCGTGGGGCTCGTGTGCAGAGAAGCCCCGGCCAGGTATCCCCTGGCTGATTCTCCGCTCGCCACTCACAGCACCTGCTGAAGAGAAGAATGTGTTTCCCTGTCCTCCAAGATTAAACAGGGCCCCTGCCGACCTCGGGGAAGAAGTCCATCTTTCTTTTTTTTAAATTTTTTTTTCAACATTTATTTATTTTGGGGACAGAGAGAGACAGCATGAACGGGCGAGGGGCAGAGAGAGAAGGAGACACAGAATTGGAAACAGGCTCCAGGCTCTGAGCCATCAGCCCAGAGCCTGACGCGGGGCTCGAACTCACGGACCACGAGATCGTGACCTGGCTGAAGTCGGATGCTTAACCGACTGCGCCACCCAGGCGCCCCGAAGTCCATCTTTCTTAACACTTGGCCTTGTGAAAGGTAACGAAGTCCGCCACAGGAACCCGTTACACGTTCTCTGTGTTCTTGCGTTCTCCCCACCAAGGCTGGAGGGGCGATCGCCTGGGGCCTAGAGGACCCCAGCACCTGGTTCTGCCCAGTGACCAGGCACCCAAAGGGCCTGCGGGGTGTGGGGGGCCTGAAGAGGCGGGGGTCTGCTCCGGACCGGCCGCTGGCAGGAAGGGGGGTTCTGGGTGACCCTCACCCACAGGGAAGGGAGCCTGGTCCTGTCCGGAGCCGGGGCTGGTGAAGCAGCCGGCACTCCTGCAGCCGGGCCGGGGAGGTTTGGTCCTTCTGTGGCCTGAACGATGTTCATGCGGTCGTCCGTGTTCAGTGATGACCCAGGGGTCTTGTCTTCGTCTTGATGATCCGTTAGCGGCCTTGTTGAATGCTGATATTCCGTGTAAGTGTTTATATTCCACGGGAGGCCCCCGAGCTGTGAGGACCAGGCCTACTCCTCCTGGCCGTCAGGGCTACTTTCTGTTCCTCGGGGACAATGTCAGAGGACAGAAGTCCTCTGGTCTCTCCAGCTGGAAGAGCTCTCGGCGCCCCCATTTTAAGATGTGTTTTCTGAACCACCGCGGGCCAGCAGGGCCTAAGGCCTGGGATGGAAGGCGGCCACAGCACGCTGCTCCGTGGGCGGGTGGACGGGGCACGGTTGGAACCCTGTGCCAGTCCACCTCGCTGTTCCAGCCAGAATGGGAATCAGGCCACTGTGTGAGTGGTGAGACCCCCAGCAGGAGAGAGCCCTCACGGTCCCCTCTCCCCAGGAGGCCCCGGGTTCCAGCACCTGACCCCTTAGGGGTGCTCTAGGTAAAGCAGCTCGGGGTGGGGGGGTGGGGGGGAGAGGCTGGGGGCAGTGGGGGATGGGGGAATGGTCACGAGGGACGAGGCCAGCGAGGCCCCACTGGCCCCTGCCACCGCAGTTCTGTGGAGCATGCCTGGTCCCACCCCCGCCCAGGAAGCTGCCACCAGCGGTGGTCAGTGAGGCCTGCTACACTTGGGCCAGGGCCTACACGGCCACCTGGGCCCTCTGTCCGGCCACCTTCGAAGTCCCGTCCAAGCTATAGCATCCTCGCCTGAGCCCTGGAAGGAGGCTGTGCTCAGGAACTCAGTCTCTGAAGATCCACCCAAGGACCCGGAAAGAGAACCTTGGGGTCCAGCTGGAGCTTCCAGGCAGCATTTTTATGGAAGGAAAATCAAGGGGGTTAAACTTGAAAATGAAAAAAAAAATTTTTTTGGACAAGTGGCAGTCAGGCGAAGCCTGTGGCTCCCTACAGGGGACACCGCAGTCCCCCAGGCTCTGTTTCTATATGGGGCACCGGCCACGGCGGGAGTGAGCGTGAGACGGACCGCTCTGAACACTTCCAGGCGCCAACGTATGGAAATTCTATTTGCAACTTAAAAGCACAGAAGATACAATATAGTTCAGGCTGGGATAAAACAGAAGATATGTGAGAAGAATGGAAAAATACATTGTCTAGGGCGCCTGGGTGGCTCATTCGGCTAAGCGTCCAACTTCCGCTCAGGTCACGGTCTCGTGGTTCATGGGTTCAGCCCCCGCGTCGGGCTCTGTGCTGACAGGTCAGAGCCTGGAGCCTGTTTCAGATTCTGCGTCTCCCTCTCTCTCTCTGCCCCTGCCCTGCTCACGCTCTGTCTCTCTCTCTCTCGCTTTCAAAGAAAAAATAAACATTAAAAACATTAAAAAAACACACCATCCTCCCAAATGAGAAACAGGCAACAAAATTGGACGATGGCCCTGTTACCTCACGAAGGGTCCTGAAATGCCCTGAGGGCGGCACCTGTTCAATGACACAGTGGACACCTCGTGGGTGCCTGGTCACTGAGCAGAACCAGGTGCTGGGCCTGAAGACAAGCTGGCCAGGGTGCCTGCAGCAGACCCTCCTCTGCCTCCCTGGCCTGCGGGAGGGTGACAGCCTGATGCTGGGGAGACCGAGGGCCAGGTGGCCCGGAGGAAGGCCCCCTGGGCTGGCCGGGAGAGGAGGCAGAGCTGGAAACAGGACCCAGAGGGAGGACAGATGGCCCAGGCAGAGAAGAGTCATGTAGGTTTGGGGCTGGTGGACAGAGCGTGCACGGAGGGCTTCCTGAATCCCCCCAAGGACAAGAGGCTTGTAGAACCACCACACGCTGGGGAGAAATGGCCGTAATTCCGGAAAAATCCTGCTGGCTGGAGGGTGGAGCCTGACTGTCTGGGAGGGGGCTGCAGGCTGAGACCGGTGGGGGCTCTGGTAGGGGTCC